ATACAGAACCGTGACACAAATTGAGTCCGAACTGTAACGAGGCCCGAGGGCGCGTCTACAACGGACAACGACGAATATCTCCTCCCCATACACTATATATTAAGGAAAATGAAATTTTTAACCCCCAAGCCTTGTGGAAGCTCCAATATCTCAATCTAAATTTCTTGATTTTTTGATTTTTTTTTAAAAAAACAAACAAACTTAGCATTTATTAACTTATCCCACCCCCCAAGCCTTACTCTCATAATAACACTTTAATGCATTAAGAACAAGTATAAAAAAATTTATTGAAAAGTCCAACACATATAAATCTTTGAAAAGTCCCAACATATATGATTATTATCCCTCATAATAACACTTTGATGCATTAAGAACAAGCATAAAACAAATTCCTTGAAAAAAAGTTCAACACATATGAATTCCTTAAAAAGTTCAACACATATGATTATTATCAAAATATTAAACTTTAATATAACATAAAATAAAATAAAATAAAAAAGATATTTAATTCCTTGAAAAGTTCAACACATATGATTATTATCAAAATATTAAACTTTAATATAATATAAAAAAGAAAAACAAAAGAAGACATTTAAAAATCGCAATTCACATATATAGATAATTGTAAATACAACCCGTGCATAGCACGGGTGATATGCTAGTACTATGTATTAAGTAAAAGTGGATTTTTAGCCCCAAGCCTTGTGGGAGCTCCAATATTTCAATATAAATTTCTTGATTTTTTGATTTAAAAAAAAAAAAAACTTAGCATTTATTAACTTCTCCTAACCCCCAAGTCTTACCCTCATAATAGCACTTTAATGCATAAAGAACAAGCATAATTTTTTTTTTTGAAATCCAACATATATGAATTCCTTAAAAAGTCTCAATACATATGATTATTATCCCTCATAATAACACTTTAATGCATTAAGAACGAGTATAAAAAAATTTTCTTGAAAAGTTTAACACATATGATTATTATCAAAATATTAAGCTTTAATATAATATAATAAAAAAAAAGACATTTAATTCCATGAAAAATCCAACGCATGTGATTATTATCAAAATATTAAACTTTAATATAATATAAAAAAGGAAAAAAAGAAGAAATTTAAAATAAAAAAAAGACATTTAAAAATCGCAATTCACATATATAGATAATTTTAAATATATTAAGAAAAAGGGGGTTTCTAAACCCCAATCCTTGTGGGAGCTCAAATCTCTCAATTTTAATTTTCTAAATTTTTTATTTAAAAAAAAAACCTTCAGTATTTGTTGATTTGGTCAAAATTCCCTGATTAACATTTATTAACTTTTTCCAATTCACATACCTGTATTTATTGATTTGGTCAAAATCCGTGATTAGTATTTAAAATCTTCTCATACAAATAATTACAGGAGAAAACCTAGCATACAAGTACATTATATATACTAATGACACCACATACCTACAATGAATTGGAAAAAGTTAATAAATGTTAATGCTATATCTTCACATACCTGTCATTGTAGGCATAGCACGGGTGATAGGCTAGTTTAACATAAATCAAATGTACTTATTTGAGTTCTATTATTTTCTTTATTATATATATATATATATATATTTACAGAAAATTAAAAAATATATTTATTTAAATCATCCTAAATAATTTATTATTAAAAAAATTCTTACCAAAAATAAAAATGGGATTGATTGTCTAAAAACAATAATTATTAAACAGGACAAATGTACTTTTGTAATTTAGTGAGCTTTTAGCATTTCTCCCCAAATTCTATTTGTGTTCGACTTACTGAGTTTTGGATTTATTATATAAGAAAAACTATGAAAAAAATTTATAATTTAAATCTCATAAGGTATTTAAGTATATTTTTTATCTTTTTATAAAAAGATGTACAGAAAAATAAAAAAATAATATAATCCAAATAAAATAAGTTTACTTATATAGGTTATATCAAACACCCCTTACTTATAATGGGATTATTCGGTGCCATTTATATTAATTGCTTATAATTTTTACTTTTATTTGAAAAATCTGTGTCGAAGAGGTTGGTGCAACTTTTACTTAGAGTTGATTACATAGAATAGAATTAACTTAAAAAGTTTTAAAAAAAAATTGATTATCTTCTGCTTTTTCTTTTTGTTTTTCCTTATTTATTTATTTATTTATGATTATTACCTTTTAGTTTCCAACAAGGTGTACCAAATAAATCTAATAAAATTCACACATATCATGTCATTGTAGGTAAAATTATAGAACTTAAATTGTGAATCTTAGGTTGTGTTTGATAACCAAATATACAAAGGGAAAATAATTAAGTTTTTTTGATAATTACAAATGACATCACTTAAAATTTAAATAATTCTTAAAATGAAGGATAAAATTTTATTAAAAAATTAAGTGATAAAAACTTGTTTAGTTCTAACTAAATTTATAAATATTTATACATAGTTATGAATATGTATCGTTAGAATTTTACAATCGCCATTGTCATTGTTACCGCCACCATCATCACTGCTATCACCACTATTATTGTTGTCACCACCACCATCCACCACCCTTTCATGACCACCACCTTCATCACTGTGGATATTGTTATCATAAGCACCACCAAATCACTATCACAATATAAAATTAAAAATAAATAATTTTCAAATTAAATATTATACACATTAAATAACTTATTTTAATTTAACATTTAATTTTTTATCAAGCAATTTTATAACTTAAAAAATTTAACATTAAATTTTCAATTTTCCATTTTATCAAAAATCACCTTATCTTCTTCTTTTTTTTTTCCTATAAAAAAAGATTAAATTACTTAAGTTTGATTTGCAATTGGTTTGATAATACTCACAAATTTTTGGATTTCATTTGAGAATAACTTTTAAGCGACCTTTTTTTGCAATTTTTTTTTGCGTGGTTGTGCAGATTTTTTAGATAAAATCATTTCTTCACTTTGGTGGGCTAAAGGAAAACAATATAAATAAATCAAAATAAAAATAAAAATAAGAATAAGAGAGAAAAGAAAAGAAAAGGCAAAAAAAAAAAAAAGAAGGAGAAATTGGCGGTCTCATTTGGAAACAGGTTGTTTTAATAATTTTTTGATTTTTTAGTTAAAATATGAGATAAAAAATTAATATGTTTAGGACAATTTTTTAATTTTTTATAAAAAGATGTGTAAAAAGTAAAGAGAAAAGAATTTTTTTAATTTTTTGAATATAATTTGTTAACTTTATGATTTTTTAATAACTTTTTAATTTTTATGCTAAAAAGTGATGTACCCAAACGAGAATGTAAGGGCCTATTTGGTTTAATTTCGCAAACTGCGTTTAAATTTTCTTTTTGAAACAATAGAAAATTGTTTGAAAAAATAAATATATTAAAATAATAATTCTATTTTTAAAAATTATTCTTACCTTTGAAAAAAATAAAATTATATGAAAGTAACAAGTGTTTTTTGGTATTTTTATTTTTTTACCAAATTATTTTTTAATTTTTTAGAAATTTTTTTGAAAATCAAATCAAACAAACTAAATTCTCACATTCTTAGAAAATGAGCCATATTTAAGAATTAAGTAATTAAATAAGCTCATAATATTTAAAGTGATATGAATTTAAAGTTACTGTTGTACATTTTTTTTTAATCAATAATAATTTCCATTAAAATAAGATGAGTCAAACGATATTTACAAAAAAGAGTCCTTTCCAACAAAATAAAAAGTTTACACTGAACAAAGTAATAATCATCAAATAAAGCACTAAGGAGAAGCTATGTATATATCAAGACACAAAGCCATAGTACGATACAAATGCCGATTATAAAAGTTCAACAATAGGACAAGCTTGAAATAAATACACAGGCTACATTCACAGAGAGGATAAACTACAATGACACCACTGATGAAAACCTAGCCACACATCCAAACACCAAATAAACAAATAAAAAAATAAAAAAGAAACCCTCAGCCTCAAAATAGCCAAGGCAGTGGAATGGTGGCGACGGATCTGGCGATTGAAGGCAAGCAAATCTGGTGGAGATGAGGAAATGGAGAAGAGGTGGAGGCAGATCAGGTAGGGGTAGGGCTGCGATGGCCAGGAGATGGCAAATCAGGTGGCCGTGCGGTGGTGGCAACATTGGAGTGAGGAAGGAGGAGAAAAGAGAAGGTGGATTCACTGAAAGCCACTGCTAGGGTAAGGCGGAGGGGAAGGGAAGAGGAGAAAAAAGAAAAAAAATGAGCAATGCTATAGACCACTAATTTACCATCACTAGTGAGGTGACAATTAAAAAAAAAAAAGAAAAAAAAAAACAAGGCACAAAACACATGTGGCAGTGGGTGGAACTTACTGCCACATCATTAGAGCCACCACTAATTAGTGATCTAAAGCATTTTTGAAACAAAAAAGTAAAGAAAATGGAAGGAGAAAGAGGGAATAGAAGGAGGAGAGAGGAAGCCAGAGGCTGGAGCCCCCCTCCCCCACCCCAGGCGGCACACAAGACAAAGAAACCTAGATGAAGAAGAGTAGAGAGAGAGACTTTGGTTTTTCTCAATTTTGTTGTTCATGTCATGTTACTTGCGAGACTCACTTCAAATCTTTTTTTATAATCCAAACAATTCAATTTTAGTGAACATTGTAAAAAATCAAGCTGATTAGACATTAATAACCCTTAAGTATTCAATTTGATACTTTAAATATTTATTTTTTATATAATTTATTAAAGTGACTATCGATATCCGATTAATTTAATGTTTTATGGTATACTAAACGGTTAAAATTATCAAAATAGAACTCAAAGGGAGCCCCACAAGCCACATAACAGTGCATTGTGCACGAGCAGTGACCCCAAGTCCAAGTTATATGGTATTCCTGTAGAAGATTACTAGTAATAAAATTTCTGTTAATAAGATTCTCATTCCTTCTATTTAATTCCTATCATCCAAACATAATGTCGAATTTGAGTTTTCCAGGTAATCATCAATCATTATTCCTGAGAACTTACCAGTAAGAGAACCAAACTGGCTCAACATAAAAATAAATAATGAACATTCATAGTTACTGTGTGATTCAAGTACATCCGAGTCAAAAAGCCAAATATTCCCCCCAATTTCAATGAAGTAAAATAAATATAAATTCTGTGATTCTCGGTATTATACAACTGTTGGGTCTTAAAGAAATTATCGGAACAACATACCCTTAAATTTTCATCATTAGAAAGATTTGGCAAAAATATTTTCAGACAATGAGACTATCTGAGAAAGGAGGAGATATCTATTTGACTATTGCAGAATTGCACTCTTGAAACTCACCTTCCGAAACTTTGACATAGCTTTCAGAGTCAGAATGCAGAGCCACCCTTGGTCTTTCCAAGAATCATTTCTTTGGCTTCGTTGATTTTAGAAGCAAGGTAGTGGCTACCACCTGCATCTGGATGGTTTGCCACCATGACCCTTCTATGCGCTTCCTTAATCTTATCTACCGGAGTGCTTTCCCTATGGAAGATAAAAAACCATTGAAAAATATCAGGTACAGCAAGTTTATATAAAATGAAGGAAAAGGAATTACAATTATTAGCACTTGGAGAAACCAAATGAAAAATCATCTGACTAGATCCACTTAAGCAATTTAAGGTTTTCGAATGCTAACTCAACAAGACCAATGCTTCAAAGCAGTTTCATGGTTAAAGCATTTTGATGCTGGTCTATTTTCGACAACCAATATTAGCTCTTCTCCCCCGAGAAATACTACTAAAGTGGGTATCAGGTTAATGCAACCAACCTAGCCCATTCAGTATTCACAAAACCAAGCAATAATCACAAAATAGGAACAATGTATGAAGCACGGGTGAAGGTACAGATACAACGATACGGCAAAATCTAAAAAAATAAGATATAAGTATAGTAGGGTACGCCCATAAAAAATATATATTTCAAATGCAAAAAATAATTGAAATAAAATTAGAAAAACAAAGAACAATAGACAAAACAAAGATGAAAATTCACCCAAAAAAAAGATGAAGATGAGCCTCCAAGAGAAAGAGAGTTGTTGAAAAAAACAGAGAAGCTGGAGATAGGGAGAGTCAGAGAGTGGAGGAAGACAAAAAAGAACCCCAAGTATTGTTCAAAAAATTTAAAATTGCAAAAATGAACAATATTTTTAATTTTTAAAAAAATAAGCACAATATAGTTCTTCTAGTACTCCTATATTTTCAATTTTTTTGGAATACCCATGTTTCATAGAAAACAATTCATAATAATAGATTCTTTATAGGGTAATGCTATGGTACACACCCGCAAAATGGTGTACCATATGCATGTTATAACATTTGTAGGTATGATTACCACAAATGTCACAACTCAATCCTATGGGAGACATAACTAACAAAAAAAAAAAAAGAAAAAAAAAGTGATAACCAAACACCACATAAGGTATTAGGACTTCTTGATAAAAGATTAACAAATAACAATGACAGACTTGAAAGTTGCTCCATGAACTTCCCTCTCGCTCCATCCTCTCCTTTCTTTTCATGTTTCAAGCCCTATGTTGGGAAGAAGGGCGTGTTTCACAATACATATCTTATGATCCGTTATGTTTAGAGGTAAATAGATATGCATTAGCAATACGTACAACACATGATGCGAAATACAATACGCGACACATAATGTGATACATAGGATATATGCTTTCTAAATTTTCTTTAAAATTTATGGGGAAAAAAAGTAATTGAACTTATTTTGTAATAAGCTAATATTATTAGAAAGGTTCATTAACTTATTAAAAAAAACAATATTGTTAAGATGAGAATGATACACCTTTTGTTTTGTCTAACTTTTTAAAAATATCTACTCGTCTAGTATTAAGCATGTTATGCTATTAAAAGATCTAGTCACATCAAAAGCTGAATGTTTTTTACTATGAAAAAACTATTTGAGAACATAAAAAATATAAATTATAAATTAAAACATCAATGGATATTTAAGACAACATGGAAAACGTGTTATACAATTATTAAGAATGAGAAAAACTGATGGTAAATTTGATTCAAGGATATAATAATGTACTAAAGTGCACTATCTCTTGTTAAACTTATTTTATCTTTGCTTTGTATATGTATTAAGTGCCCCTTTGGCAACTTGGCCTTTTTAGTGGCTTTTTATGAGGTGCAAAAAGTTAGTGTGTTTGGAATGATTTTTTTAGTTGAATATGGATAATTGTGTGGGAAAAAAGTGATTGATTGAAGTTTATGATGTGACATTTTTGGCTTTTTTGTGGCTTTTTAGCCAAAAAATCACAAACCAAATAGGGCCTAAGTATTGAAGCTTGCGTATCTTTAGTTCTAGAAGGCAACTTTTGTAACATTAATGATTATAGATTGTTTTATGTTTTTTATCTCGCAAGATATTTGTGTTTTTATAAATATATTTATTTTTCTAACTATTTCTAAAGATGTTAAAAATTCTTACAATATGCAATACGCAATTCAGAAAATAGAAAAGGATAAGGGATTCATATCTCAATTTGAGAATCTATGGTATTAATGCATGTGATGAGACGAAATTATCATGAACATTACACTTCATGACTCAACAGATTGGTTTCAAGGGTACCTGACTCCAAGAATGAGAGCTGCTTCTCTTTTTGTCATTGCAGGCTGGAATCCCCCTTCATAAAATCTGCGTATTCTAGGTGGTCTTGTTTTGAATGCTTGCCAAGCTTGGATGCTGTATCTGCCAGCGTAAGCAGCAGCAGCAAGAGCAAATCCTGCTAACAATGGTGTAGACTGGTGTGCAAATTTCAAATTTAAACGTCAGTTTAAGGAACGGGTTACCACCACACTAGGAAAGTCACCAAGAAACAAGATGACTAATAGATCTAAATCATCATTGACAAACAACCTCTACTTTCAATAACATCAACATTGATGAACAGTATGAACAAGCACACTAACTTTTGTTATACTTTGAACCACTTTCTTTCATTCATAAATGTAGTTGTCTTACATGTGTGCCTACAGCAGCTATCTTTCTTTTATACAAATGATTTCAGATACGTGTACCTTGGATATTAGTTATTTCCAATTAATCCCCATATATGGTATAAGAAATCCGATGGCCTTACTATGAGACAGAAATCCACCAAAAAAATGCCAGACTAGCCAACAGCCTTGGCCCAGATGTCTCAAACCCTTTCCCCCTCCTAATCTCACTATCAAACATGCCTTTAAGGAAGATCATCTTAAAATTCCTACAATAACTTTCAGAATCTATTACTATAATAGAAACTAGATCTTGTGGAACATATTGAATATTTGACGATAAACTACAAACCTCACTAAAGAATGTTTATCTATGAAGCACGCATACTTCTAGAACGGAGTCGTATCCATATTGTGTCACTATTGGATACTCACAAATCCGTATCTGATATTTTCCAAACATATTCTTAATTTTCTTTAATTTTGAGAAGTATCAGAAAATTTTCAAATAATCAAAATCACATATCCAAACTACTATGAAATTAAAATTGTGTGAGAATTCTTGCAAATACCACTTTTAAGAGTAAGTGTGAAAAGGAAAAGCATAGAGATATCACAATATAAGCAGTTTAGACTTGGTATTAAAATAAAGCCTTATAGGACCACCTAAAATTAGTAACTTGCTTACCAGCTCTTAAACTAAGACCTAATTCCTAAGGAATGGTTTCTCACAATTATATGGGCTCCTCTGTAAACAATTCTAAAAATTTAACTGTTTTTTTTAACAAAAATCTGGTTCATGAGGGTTTTAGCCTAACATTGTTGAGATGAATAATGAATAAGCAATTATATCATCTAGATGGAAGAAAAATCTCATTGAAAAGCAAATTTGCCCCATTTATAGCTTGAAATTGCCATTGGAAAGAACAGGAGGATTGTTAAAAACTAAACAAGAATTGATTGCTATTGCGCAAACCACAGATTTCAATGAACACATATTTATGTATGTAGAGAGAGAGAGAGAGAGAGAACTCACCATTGCTGATCCTGAGAAATTTCAGAGTAGGAAGGGATGAAGATGGGACATTCGCTGGATTCTTGTAGCGTTTCGAATTGATTTGTATGGATAAACACAGTTTTATTTCATTATAGGATTTCCGGAACTAGGGTTTCACTGTAAAAAACAGACTTGCTCAGGGGGCAACTATGGCGGTCTGCCACGTGATGTCACGCGATATTTTTCCTCCACTTTCTTCCTTCATTAAAAAATAATAGGGAAAATTATAAAAAAAATTAAAAAAAGGGTTAATTTGTATACAGTCCTTCAAGTTTGACATATGTTTCATTTTAATCCATATAATTCTAATTGTATTAATTAAGTCCCTCATGATTCAACTCTATTTGTGTTGTATTAATTAAGTCCCTCATGATTCAACTCTATTTGTATACCATCTATAAATAATAATAAAAAGTCCCTTAAGATTTAATTCCAAATCAATTTAGTCTTGAAGGAAATATAAAAATAAACTATAAATTTAAGGCTGATTTGGCATCCATGAAAAAAGATAAAAAGTCAAAAAATTATTTAAAAAGTCAAAAAATTATCACTATTCACAAAAAAAAAAACATAAAAACAATAAATTTACAAAAAAAAAAGTACAAGTCAAAAGGTGTATTGAAGTGATGTGTTGTCTATAGTGTTGGCACACATTGAGGGTGTTTGGTGGGGCTTTTTGAGCCAACTTATGGCTTCTGTCTTTTAAAAAGTTATTTTGGACTGCTTGGTTAAACTTATTTCAAACAGTTTCTGATTCTAACAACTTATTTTACGTCAAAAAAGCTGATTCTGAGAAGCTGCTCACCCCTTGCTTCTGATTATCAGCTTCTGCTGTAGACATGTTAATTTACGGTTATACTCTTAAATTTTTTTATTTTTTATTTTTTTTAAAAATAGAAAAAGACCCAAATGGACTATAAAATATATATATATATATATTTTTTATGAGAAATGTAGACAAATAATGAATAATAAAAAATAAAAATTAATAAAAGCTGATTCTGAGAAGCTGCTCACCCCTTGCTTCTGATTATCAGCTTCTGCTGTAGACATGTTAATTTACGGTTATACTCTTAAATTTTTTTATTTTTTATTTTTTTTAAAAATAGAAAAAGACCCAAATGGACTATAAAATATATATATATTTTTTTATGAGAAATGTAAACAAATAGTGAATAATAAAAAATAAAAATTAATTAAAAAAGCTACTTCACAGTTTATTTAACAAACACTACTCAGCAACTTAAATCTATAATCCAACAGCTATACCAAACAGATTAATAGCTTCTGATTAAAGTCATAATCTATAATCTGTTAAGCTATAATCTATAATCTATTTTAACAGCTACGCCAAACAGCACCATTAGAAAGCCGGATGCACTTCTCATGATATACAAGACAATGTTGTTCGGCCCGTGGGGCCCATCACGAGTCCCGTTTTGATAATCTGAACCGTTAATGTGTAGAACTCATCAAGTACTATATGCCTGTAAAAAATCATATTGATCGGATATCGATAACTATATGATCAAATCAGTTTTGTAAAAAAAAATTGGACGGTGAAGAAATTAACGGTTGACAAAAAACTAATCTGATCAAATAGCTATCGATATCCGATCAACATGATTTTTTACAAGCATACAATACTCGACGAGTTCTACATATTAACGGTTCCGATTATCAAAACGTGACCCGTGGTGGGCCCCTATGGGCCAAACAACACCGTCTAGTCCGATCTCGAATTGCAGGGAATCTGTTCTTATACATGTTTACTGCCCACCGTTTGGCTTCCTGGACAATCCAAGTCAATAGGCATTTAGATATAGAAGGGGGAATATGGTAATTTTACTATTTTATACAATATTTTAATATACATTTTTTCGTAAAAAGTTAAAAAGTTATCTCAAACAACCATTTTTTCCTCTCTACTTTTTAGTTCAAAAAGTGCACTTATTTAGGACATCCCAAACAATCCCCTAAAAGTTTTATTAGTTACTATAAGGCCCTATATCTCTATCAGACTAATTATAAAATCTCTGTAAATTTGTGTGTGTTTAAAATTAGTATTAGAGCCTAATTTCTTAGTCATGCAAATATAAATATATGAACTTTAGATATGTTGAAGAAGTCAAAATAATCACTTTTGCTTGTTTTCGATTTTCCAAAAACAATTTTTAGAAAATTTTGCTTTCTTGTTTTCCATATTTTTTTTTTATTTTTACTAAATTTTTTTAATATTTTAAGCATTTTTTTTTAATTTTTAGACACACCTAACATAAATACACATAAAAGTATAATTTTTGTGAAAAAAATCTTTTGAAAATTCACTAAATACAAAAAAAAAAAAAATGAGAATTCAATATTTTTGAGTATTTTTATGCATTTATTAATTTTTTAAAATATTTTTCCACAAATTTTTTACTTTTTAGATACATCTAAGTAAGGTATATCTAAAAAAGTAAAAAAAAAATGCTTAAAATTTTAAAAATATTCACTAAAAATAAAAAAATACGAAAAACAAAAAATTTAGTTTTTGAAAACTCAATCCAAAAAACTCCAACCAAACACACACAATAGTACTGCACTATAAATAATAATTGAACAAAATAATACTATAATCAAATTATTAAGAGAACTTTGACCATCTCCAACCGTGTATCAAACTTATCATCAAATTTGAATTTGATGAAAAAGGTGTCCTTTTTCAGCTCCAACGGTTTTATCAAATCGGTATCAAATTGAAGATTTTACTTTTCTTTCATCAAACTGAGGACCGACTTTTCTTTTATCAAATCACTATTGTGTTGCTAGCTGTCCTCCTAGATTACTATTTCAAGGCAAAAAAAATTGAAAAAATTACACTGGCCGGTGGACCGCTCGGTAAACCACCTCAAGGCAAACAAAAAAAAGAAAAAGAAAAATTTACATTGGCTGGTTGACTAGCCGGACATCCGCTCGGTCATCATCCTAGTGGACCGGTGGTTTGATAAAGTTCCAAAATTTTCCGTTGAAGCACTTGATATCAAAGAAAGTTTTTACTCAAATTTGGCGAAAAAATTGATACACTGTTGGAGATGCTCTTGAAGAAAATCTTTTGAAAAAATAACTAAAAATTATACTCGAAATTCAACATTTAATATTAGATTAGATAAAGGTAAACAGTTAATTATTATAAAAAATAAGTAAGAAAACATCACAAATAATTATCTTTATTCTTACAACGGAACTCTCTAAATAAATCTTTTGAATTAATTCCATCAGAAAAACGAAAAAATAGTGTGATAAAATAAAAATAAATTTAAATTTAAAAAGGTATTTTGATAATATAACAAAACTTAAGAAACAAGAATATAATAACTAAAACGTGAGGGTCATGATTGTAAAGCAAAAAGGACCATGTGGAATAAAGTACATAGAGCAAATTGACGAAATTCAAAGTACAAAGACCAAATTGAAACTTAAAAGGAAACCTGAACAACTATTGATGTAGTTAACGCGTCCGGATCCTCTAGAGTGATCCTGTGAAGTGATCCTCTAGAAGACCAAATTGAAACTTAAAGGAAACCTGAACAACTATTAATGTAATTAACCCCCCCCCCCAAAAAAAAAACTTCACCTTGTAACAAAATAAATTTTGAATTTTGAATTTTGTTAATTTAAACTCTGAAATTTTGATTAATTTTCGATATGAACCATTTAAATTGAAATTTTTTTTTTTGAATATTTTAATTATTAAACTCAAGAAAACTGAATATTTTAGACATTTTATGTATATCAACATTAAATTTAATGACTAAAATATTATTTTTTTGTCAGTTTTAATTAACAAAAGTGACAAATAATTTAAATTGAAAATAAATAAAAAAAATTAAGATTTAAATTGACAAAATTATCCCGTTCAAAAAAATATTGAAAAATTTAAAAATTTAGGATTTTTTTTATTGTAAGAATCAAATTTCAATGTGTTTTTTTTTTTTGGGAATACTAATATTTAAAATAAAAAATCAGTGAAACATTGGAATTTTTTTTTTTGTAATTAACCCTAATATATCTTATTATATATATACACATGTGCTTGTATATATGATCATATTTTTTTTTTAAATTTTTTTGACTGTCACCACTGTGCAGTTCATACATTTTAATAATTAAAATACTATATTTTTCATAATTTTGTAATTTTTTTCCCTTTCTTTTGTAATTGTCCCCAAAAAAATAAAAATAAATAAATAAACAAACAAACTTATGAAGGCACTTGTGAAATAAAAATTAAAAAATATATTTTAAAAATTAGTATAAACACACATCATATAATAAATTAAATTAAATATAATATATAAATGTGATTATTGTAGTATTATGCGGTAATAAGGCGCTTTACCTTATGAATTGTGATAGGAACAAAGTGAAATTGTTAATTTTTATATTAAAAATAACATTTTCAAAACAATAGAAAAAACAAAGAAAGAAAAATAAAAATCTATAGCATAATCATTTTTACATGGTGACAAAAAGTGTTATATTAAAAATATGAAAAAATTGGCCTAAGGTCCCTCCCCAACTTTTAATAGGAGGAGAGGTACACAATAATATGTTATGATGACTAAGGTCCCTCAACTTTATTTTATGTTATAAAATACCTACTTTACCCTCGTTATAACATAAGATTGTTTGGATTTTGGCAGACTGCTGACTTCACGGTGAGATTTTGGAAACTGATTTCATAGTAGAGATTTTGTCGGAGATTTTGGAGGGATTTCGCAAGTGTTGCAGTGGACTTCACGATAGAAATTACTACGATCATGTAGGTGTTATAGTTTGTTGATCGCGTATATTTTTCAGTGGAGTTGAATCAGGTATGGTTTCGATAGAAATTCCACATGAATTTTTGATTTTTGTTTTGAATTTTATGTAAGGATTCCGATTTCATATTAGTTTTTAAAGTGTATTTTTGCATTAGGTTTTTGTTTTTAGTTTTGATCAATTTAAAAGAGAGGCTAGCTCAGTGAAGTTGTTTATGATTTTTGGAGTTGATTTTTCATTTGTTGTTATTGATCAATTTTAGACAGAGACCAGCTTGATAGAGTTGATTTTTATTTTTGGAATTAATTTTTCATTCTCTGTTTTTTGATCAATTTCAAAGAGTGTTGACGGTGTGGTTGATTTTGATATTTAGAGTTCATTTTTCATGCTC